ATTGTATTATGAAAACTTTCATTTGACCTCCATTTTCACACTGCTCTGTGCACTGTCATTGTGAAACCAGTTCATGTCTTTGGCTGATACTGCATCTGGTTGATATGTTAAGCTCTGGCTGTGTTGCCAGTTCACCCAGAAGCTGTTTTTTAAATAAGTAAATTGTTTAATATCATTGGCATTTTTCCTCCAATTCCACAATTCAAACTGCATCCACTATAATTTTGCAAAACAGGGTTTATGGAGCCTAACCACAAGAGTGCATAAGTTTTTAAAATATCTGCAGCCACAGGCAGTTAAATAATTTAGTTTTTTCTCATTGGTTTGCTTCAGTGTTGGTCCCATTTTCACCCTTTTAGAACCGTGGCTAGGAGTTCCTTCATCTTGTTCCCTGCCAAGGTTTCATTCAAATTTGCTCTGGGGCTTTGCAGCACTGTGTGCCAAGTCCTTAAAAGCATTTAGATAAAAAATAGGCGATCAATGAAACACCTGCTAAAAGGTCAGCAGAACTTCTGAACTCTTACCTGTTCTGCTTAAGGTGATTGTGTATTTTGACAGGCGAAGATTATTTGCTATTTGCTCCTAATTACCTTCCTATTTTTATAATAACCTTGGCCCTTGCTTGATATACCCAGTGACTTTTCTGCTGTGTCATCTTTTTCCTATTCTATATGTGCCAGGAAGGACTTTCTTTATTGTGTGATTATCCATGTCCTCAGCTCATGTGGCTTGCTTTTTGCATGTGCCAGCTAATGATTTTTCATTGTAATAATCCTCTTCGCTGATGTCTTGTTCCTTTGTTCCATTGTCTAATGACTGTTTTTCTTTATCAGTTGCACAACTCTGATTCCCTCTCATCCTCCAAGCTCCCTACACTTACAGAAAACTGCTATGAAATTTCATCTTCTGTGGGTTTTTTTTTTAATGGCCCTTTTACATGCACGAATGAAATGACCAAGTATATTTTAGAGAGCGCTATTGGGAGAGACTGATAGATGTATGGCAGAGCAATGAATAGGAGACTCTACTTGTTTAGGAAAAAGATAATTGTTTGGAACCTAAAGGCATGTCTGCATGGCTTCCGTGTCATGCTTGGGAGTGCTGCTGTGGAGCATGCACCACCCATTCATTCCCATTCTGGGTGTGATAAACCCTGGATGTCAGGCAATGGTAGCTGCTTTAGAGTAGCTTTGGGCACATCACGTGCGATTCTGGGCGTGTACTCATGGCTATTTCTAGATGATAGCTATATTGCCTCATTTCGGACAGTGGGCATGAACAGGAGTTAAGGGTCCTTTACAACAATATTCCCAGGTACAACTATGGGTGGACCCAGGGTTTTGTAAAGTGGGGTGTGGGAGCAGTGACCAGTGCTGTTGGGGTGGTTGTACTCACACTTTCAGCCTCCTTCCTGGGCTGGGCAGACCGTGCCATAGGGGCAATATTTGGCAAGTTTAAGACCCTGAATTGAGTAAGAATCCAGCTCTCCCTTCCTTTCCAGCTTTCGGCACTCACTCCCCCACCATCGCTGCTTAGTGGCATCCTATTCCCTTCCTAGTATGGGGGGAGTTCCTGAGCTGTTACTGCCCTGCAGCTGGGCTGTGCCCCTGCATCTTTTGGATCCACCTCTGGGTGAAGCATTGAGGTCTTAAACTCATATGGTGTGTATCTTTAGGTTGCTTAAAAGAACAACTCTTGTACAATAACTTTTTTTTTTTTTAAATCCCATGTTTGCTATGCCCTGTGTTTTAGCATAAAGATAATGGAGCAGAACTTGAGCTTGTGTAAACTGTCATACTTCCACCTGCCTTAAGAAAGGGTAAAATTCTACAGCCTGTTATACAGGCTATTGGATTAGATGATCAACATCATCCTTGTAACGTTTCTAGGATGCTATTTTCAAAAGTATTTTTGGTTATATTCTTTCAAATGATATCTCTCATGTTAGCATTAATGCCTATGGGTGAGCAGGTCCTCAATCCCTGTGATAGTTTATGAGAACATTTTGCTTAGTTCCAAAGTTGTATGTAAACCTGAAAGTAACTAAAATCCTAAAATAAGCCCCTCAAAATCTGAAGCGGGAATTTGGACAGACTATTATTGGTGTTTCTTAGGAACAAGGAGTTCTACTATGTAGCTAGTTTTGAGGTCCCCCCCCATCCCCCTTTCCTCAGTTCGTAGTTGCTTTATT